GGAAAAACTCACTGGAGAGGCAGAGAGGCAGCCATGGAGGTCAGTGAGCTCAGTGCCCGGAGTCAGATGACTCCTCCCCCCCACCCCCCTCAGCGTTGAGCCCCGGCCCCTGCATTGCCTGGTGTGGAACCCCGAACGAACAGCCTCCGTCTCACCCCCGCCGTCTCCCATTGGGAAGATGGAGATAATGACAGTTAGAACCCATGGCAGGCACCGAAGGGGGAGGGGACGAAACCCTGTGTGTCACTCACTCAGAACAGTGCCTGCCTCTCAGCAAGGACCCCACTGGGGGTTAGCCACCAGCATCACTTTGATTTGTTCCACAGACGAGGCCGTGACCTTTCTAGAATGATTGGATGAAGGTAGTCTGACCCCCAACCCGGGCGAGGAATGGGTTTTTCACAGGAACTAAAAAAAGAACGTTAAACTGGGGGGCAAAAGAGATGCTTTCGAGACCACGCTCTGCCCCTAACATTTCAGGAGGCAAACTGGGCTTCCTCCCAATCTGTTCACCAGGAAAAAGGAGACCCGAGGGCAGCCCAGGGGTCGGTGTGGTCCTGGCAGACGTGCCTGCGCCCGCGGGCCCTCACCTGAGGTACTCATAGAGCCCGTACATGGGCAGGAAGTCGATGTCGGACAGGAACATGTAGGGAGTGCCCACGTGCTTCATGGCCACGTTGCGCAGCAGGTTCACGGGGTAGAACTGGCCCTCCTTGTACACGATGTGGTAGGCCACGTTGTGGCGGCTCATGAGCACCTCGGAGCCCTGCGCGTAGCGGAGGAACTGCTGGGCCTCGGCGTCCGACAGGTAGAGGGCCAGGCTGATGGGCCCCTCCCAGTGCTTGCAGATGGCCTCCAGCATCTGGAGCCTGTGAGAGACAGGAAGGTGAGCCACGGACCCGGCCCCATCCGCGCATCCTCCACCCGCCCTCCTGGGGGGCTCTGCCTCCCCCACGGGCACTCGGTCAACCAGCCTGAGCCCAAACCACGGTGTAACGGGGGGAAAATCACCAAACCTCAGCTCCTTTATCGACCAGAGGGGCATAAAAGCACTCGCCTGGCTGGCTCTGGTCTTTGTCTGCTTCTAATCGAGTGAGTGACACTGAGAAAGTCACATCCCAAAATACGCCTTTTCTTTTCAACAGGGTGGTGAAGATGATGTTAAATGATTTAAGGATTCCCTTCCAGCTCAAAACTGCTATCCCTCTCCTCCTCTCTCAGGAAAGATACAGAGCTCTGCTGAGCTCCTGAGGCAGTGACCAGCCACAGAAGATGGAGCCAAACCTAGGCCGTGAGTTACAAGGAGCGTTAAAATAAGCAGTAAACGCAAGAGTCATAATAACTGCAATTATCTGACTCATTGCCATGCCCCAGACACTCTCCAGAACTCTCCCAACAGCCCTGTGCACCCTCTCCCCCTTCTTCTGATGAAGGAATGGCGGCTCCAGAGGTCCAGTTGATACCACTGTAACTAGCTAGTTATTAATAACAGAAAGGGAGCAGAGGGAGGCCAGACATTATAGCACAGCCATTTGGGCAGCTTCACCAGGAAGATGCAATTTCACACTCCCCAGGGAACACCGGCTCATTCCCCACAGATCACTGGGGAGAGAGACGCACGCACAGTGAAGCTGGGGTGACATGGGAAAGGTGCCTTTCAGTCAAACCTGAGAACAGAAATCATTGGCTGGAAGGCGTGGGGCTAATGCAAGTCTGGGAAAGCTCGGGAACACATAATCCCCTACACAAAGGAACTTTCTCGCTCTTGGCTCTCTGGTTCCTTTGGCTTTGCTCTGGTTTCCTTGCACTTGCCGTGTTCCCTCCATAACCATGTGGCCATGGGGACACCACATGCAATGGACTAATGGGCTGCAGCAGGATCACAAACAGTCAGGCTGATGCTGGACTGGACACTGCTCCAACATGGAGCAGAAGTTCTGGACACTGGCTCTGACCTTAGCCCCGCTGAAACCACAGCTACACTCCTTCCACGCGGGACGAGGGGGAACTCAGGGGTGCAATTCCACAGAAATAAAGCTTTCTACAATATCTCATCCTCCCGTGGGGGCCTCCTGAAATTCTTATTCCAGCAGCACCCCAAGAACCCCACTCCACCAATAACAAAGTCAACTTTGATTCTTAGGCTTGGAGCAGACATGTGTAGACAGGTACAGGGACAGGGCCTTGGGGACGGTGAGAAGAAAATAATACTGGGTGTTTGGTAAAGTAAATGGAAAACCACGTGAATGTGGGGGACAAAAGTGTGCCTGGTTCAGTGGATAGAGCATCAGCCTGTGGACTGAAGGGTTCTGGGTTTGATTCTGGTCAACAGCACATGCCCAGGTTGTGGGCTTGATCCCTAGTAGGGGGCATGCAGGAGGCAGCCGATCCATGATTCTCTCTCATCATTGATGTTTCTATCTCTCTCTCCCTTTCCCTTCCTCTCTGAAATCAATCCTATACAATAAAAGCCTAATATGCAAATCGACCGAACAGCAGAACGACCAGTCGCTATGATGTGCACTGACCACCATGGGGCAGACGTTCAACTCAGGAGCTGTCCACTGGTGGTCAGTGAACTTTCACAGGGGGAGCACTGCTCAGCCAGAAGCCAGGCTCATGGCTGGCAAGCACAGCGGTAGTGGTGGGAGCCTTTCCCGCCTCCACGGCAGTGCTAAGAAGCAGCGAGCCGAGCGGTAAGGAGGAGCGAGCAGTACGGAGCGAGGGGTCCCGGACTGTGAGAGGGATGTCTGACTGCCGGCTTAGGCCTGCTCCCCTAAGCCAGCAGGCGGACATCCCCAGAGGGGTCCCAGACTGCGAAAGGGTGCAGGCCAAGCTGAGGGATCCCCTGCTCCCCCAGTGCGCAAATTTCGTGCACTGGGCCTCTAGTAAAACTATATATTTTTTTAAAAATGAGCCTGGGGGGATGCCTTCCTTCTTTACTTTTCAGAGCCCTTATTGTGCCAGGGCCACAGCCATTTGCAAGGCTCCCTGAGAGGCACCAGCCAAGGAGAATTGGGGAAGAACAGAGCCCAGAGAGAGAAAGCTCTGAGAAAACGAAGAGAAATCTATAAAGATAGTTTTTTTTCAAGGCAGTAGAAGTGCCTGCTACACAAAATCCATGGTTAGGAAAAAGCAAAACCTATTCTACTTTTTTTCCCTACCCAGCAAGAGGCACCTAATCAGCGGTCTCCCGGTCAGAATGCCCACTTCAGTTGGACAATTACCAGGAAATAGATTCTACGCATTTGCATTTCTATGCTTCTAAACAAAAGAAAGCAGGCACCCCTATCCTGTGCCCACGGTTTTCCAAGCGTCCTCTCATTCTGCGGGATTTGCTTCCGCTTGCTCTTTGGAGGATTAAGATATTCACAGGGTAAGATGCCCTCCGTTTCTCATACGTTGTGACACTTGCTAATCGAATTGGCCAGAGCCGGGTATGGGAGGCATGACATTCTCCACGAAGCCTGATCTCTGACACGTGCATGCGGCCTCCGCTGCACTCTGCCAATCTGGGGGTTTGCATGACCCCACCTGCACCCCAGTGTCATCTTCTGCAAAAGGGAGGACTCTGCACGTCCTTTGAAATTTGGGGAGTCAAGGGCAAGGGTCACTTCTAATCTGAGGACAGAAGAGTTGCTGGAGGGAGGTGGAGGTGGGAGGCACGCCTGGGCGTGAAGAGGCCCGCCAGCTTCTGCAGTGGATTCGCCCGCTGGCTCGGTTTTTGACTCTGTGTCTGGGTTTTCCATGCGAGGAAGCCCCGCCAGGAGCAGCTCACTCTGGCTGGTACTGAAGAATTACCTCGTGCTCTCCAACTGGTGCTTTTCATCTGTCAGCTGCTTAGGATCACGTGGGAGGAGGCTTCTTACAGCACATTCCTGGGCCCCCAGAATCTGTATTTCCAACAAGCTCCCGCGTGATGCTGTGTGGCCAGGCCCTTTGGAGCCACACAGCTCTGAACGACGGGACCTGTTAGCTCAGCTAATGTTCTCCCTCCTCCAGAGGCCTCTCTCCAGAGACCGAAATCAGAGGAGGAGAGAGAACATCAGTTCTTCATCAACGTTGTCAAAGGGACAGGAGGGAGAAGGTGCCTCCTGGTGGCCAGATGCTGTGATCAGGATGGAATCCCTCTGTCCTCAGCAGTCCTGTGGGCCTCCAGGATGGGAGGGAGGTCCCCAGAGCAGACCTGCCAGCGCCATAGGGCCTTCACTCTTCCTGAAGGGACTGCTGGAGGGAGCCGGCGCCGGAGCCGGCAGCCCCCAGGTCCCTGTGGCATTCACGCAGGGCCTACTTCTGACTCGAAGGTGTACAGACACATCTGAAATGCCTACTAAATTAAAAATCGATCCAACAGGCACCAGCCAGATGCTGTGCAGCATGGAGGGGAAGGGGAATTGTACCTCCTCATCGGCTGTGGCACCGCGTGGTAACTTTTGCTTATGTCCTGCTACGTGTCTCTCCTTAGGGCGTGGGGTTCCCGGGGTCTCTGAGGTGTCTCAGGATGGCAGTACTTGTCACGACGCATTAGGGGGATCATGGGTCCTCCATGCGGAGGGTGGGGGGATGCGTGGGGTCTGAAGGGAAGGCCTCTGGGTCAGTGTTTGAGGTCACACAGCGGTAAAGGCCGGTTGATCTGGTGCTAGAGTCTCTGTGCTTTTCATGTTCCCCTTTGTCTCTGCCTGTTGTCTTTGCCTGTTGCCTGTGAAGGTCGGCAAGTCCTCTGTGCTTGTGCACCAGGTCCTGGAGGCTGGTGAAGCTCCAGGAAACCACGAGCCACAGAACCACGAGCCAAAGAAGCTGTTTAGTGCTGCGAGTAGTCATTGCTAACACGCGGTAGGAATCAGAAAGCAAGGAATCGGCTTCCTCCTGGATCTTTCCGCCTCATTCAGCACGAATCACTCTCAGATGCATTCAGATGCAAGGCCCGCCCACTCCCCAGAACCCTCGGACGACTTTGGGTACCTTTCATGTCTGAGCGCTGGCTCTTTCCTTTGCGCGTTCTTCCATCACTCATGACTAATAACAGCTGACATTTATCGAACACGTAAGCGTGCCAGGCCCTGTTCTCAGCACTTTATAGGAATAAACTCATTGACTCCTGAGAAGGGCCCCTAGAATCGCATCCACAGGCCAGACAGGCATCGCTGAGGTGGTGCGGGGACAGAATGTGCCAAACTGCTTTCCTGATTGTGGGAGCTGAGGAGGGATGACATGCAGGAAGCTGGGGCAAGGGCAGCCACTATGGGCCATGAGTAAATCAACGAGGAAGCTGGTGAGCAGTGGTGGGAGGGGCCCCCCAGGACAGCCAGGAATAGAAAAGTGGGGCCCTGAGGGAGTGGCCTCGGGGCCTTGAAACCACTCACCTCCTGGCAGCCAGAGAGATGGTCTCAAACAAAACTCAAGTTAGATCTAACAACTTTGTGCATAAATCTTAAATAACTTCTCAACACATTTAGAATAAAGTCCCAGTGTTTTATGAGTTTCCAAGTTCTATCGCCTCCATCTCAGGCCCTTCCCTCCCAGGGGCCTGCTCTGTGGCAGCTGCACTCATTCTCTATCAGGCTGTGGAACGTGCAAGGCCCTTCCCACCACGGGGCTTTCACACCTGCTATTCCATCCGCTTTCTCAGCAACTCCTACGCCTGCCTCCTTTCTCATCCTCCACGTCTCTGCAGAAATGTCCCTCCTTAGAAAGGCTCCCCCTGACCATACCACCTGCAGAAGGCCCCTCACCTGACACTGTTATTCTCTCTCCCGGGTCCTTCAAAGCACTCACCACAGCTTCACGTAGCTGTTCGTTGTTGCTTATACACTAGCCCCCTCCCTGTTCTCGACTCTGGCTGCACATTGCAAACTTAGAACAAGGCCAGGTCTCCACCCCATAGTCCTACTTCACTGGCCTGCAATGGAGCCTGGGCATGAATTTGTCTTAAAAGCTCCCCGGAGGATGCAGACTGTCCCCAGCCAAGGCCGAGAACCAGGGCATCAGACTGCGGGCCACTAAGAGCAGGAGCCACGTCGGTCCTGCCTGCGAAAGGCTCAGTAGATCGATCCATGCAGAAGGAGACGAAACAGCAACTGCTTTCCAGCGGTGACTGTGGGTCCAGTCTACGCGTTTCCCTTCCCTCCGTCCTCAAAGCCATCATCGTCACCGAAAGACAAGAGCCCTTGGTTTTCCGTGCCGAGAGGGGGTGGGACGCAAGCCCTACCATACCAGGCCCCAATAGCCTCAGCTCGCAGGCCCTCCCTCCCTTCTCCAGGTGACTGGGTGAGGGGCTGTGCAGAGGGGGCCGGTCTGCCCTACCTGTCCATGGAGAGCTGCGCGACCAGGGTGACGTCCGTGTTGTCCGCGGCGGGCTCATACTCGTAGTGCAGGAAGTACAGGTGGGTCCGGTGGACGGTGAAGCGCTCTCGCCGGAACTCGTAACACAGGTCGTCCTCATCCAGCTCCGAGAGCTGCTTCTGGAGCTGCGAGGCAGGGGAGAGGCGTGGCAACGAGAAGGAAAGCCCCAGGGGGCCGGGAGCCCGCCCGCCCCTCGGCCCTGCCCTCCCCCGAGTCTGTCACGTTGAACATCGCTGATGGTCAAACACAGGACAAGATCGCTGTGTCCATCCCCCCATGCAAGTCACTCTGATTTCAAAACGGGGACCATGAAGGGCAGCTCAGCCTCCGAGAAGGGAGACGGCTCTGAGCTCAGCAGGATGGTGGTGATCAGGGACCAATGGATAACCATCCACAAACGCCCTATAAGCAAACAGTCTTTGCCTGGATGACCTAGCGCAACATTTTCAAACATGAGGGGGGAAACTGTCACAGAAAAGAGTGAGAAACTGAGCGAGCAATGCCTTTGTGTGAGCCGATGCCTTTCTCTCCTAGAGCCACAGACTCCAGTCTTTGCACCAGGAGAGCAAAACCAAACCAAAGCCTTTCCTTCAAAGTCATCCAGGTTGAGTCCGAGCCTCAGCGCCCAGCCTCTCTTTCCCCCTCAGAACCTCTCGCTCATGAACCTGCCTGTAGACCTTCTCCGCCCAGCTCCACTCTGCTCCCTCCTTCCCAACTAGCGAGAGAGCAAGCTGACCCGCCAACAGGGATTGAGGGCTCAGCCTCAGACATAGCAGATGCAGATCCACGGACGCCCAGACCTGCTGGCTCAGATGCTGATATACCCCCGTCGCCTACAAACCCCACCTCGACCCTCCCAGGCAGGCATCACTGTGCCTGTCATGTAGGTGAAAAAGTGCAGGGGGAAGTGAAAGAGCGCTGACAGTGACCAGTGTGAGGCCAGTGGGTGTGGGTGCGGAGTGAGCGGACTGGGGACAGGCGGGAGAGAGGCTCATCGGCCGAGGGAAACGTATGTGTCAAGATTACACGCGTGTACACGTTGGTGAGGATACGACACACCGTGCATGTAGAATGCACAGATTTGTCACATGCACATTGTATTTGAAAACTGATGTTTAAACATGAATGATTTTGGTGAAAGTCACACAGCTGGTTCCAACATTATTTCTGTTGCACCAGCCTTGTCCATCACATGAGGACATGTTGTTGAACACGGACTAAGATGTGCCTGGCTAGAGGGACTAACCCGGCTGAAAGTAACGAAGCACTTTTCCAAGAAGAAACATAAAATCTCCAAACTAATACATAGTGTAGTTGTCAACAAGAAAATATGCTAACTCGCTCCTGTAAAACCTAGTGCCGGTTGAGACCATCGCTTGATGGATGACGCTATGCAGAGGATTCCACTCACTGCGCAGTTCTCCCTCTCCTCTCACGCTCCCCACTGTCACGTGACTCCCAGCATCACCATTTCCCTCACACCTGGACCTGGGCTGCACTTGTGACTTGCTTTGGCAGATGATCGAATGGTGGGGAAGCCATGCTGTCCAGTCCTGAGGTGGCACTTCAAGGGGAGTCCACCGTTATGCACCTCCACTCCTGCCGTGAGGAGGTGCTGGGCCATCAGCCTGAGGGTGAGCCACAGTCTCCCCAACGGCCCCAGATGAGGGAGCGAGCCCAGCCCGGATCAGCAGAGCTGCCTCAGTAAACACCTCCCATACACCACTGAGGTTTTACAGGTCCGAGCAATAGACAACTGCCAGGGGGGGCACTGGCACTTAGTGAGGTGACTTTCATTATGTGAGCCCGTCCCGCGTAGCAGGGGACGGTGGCCTCTCGGGCCTCAGCCCAGTCAGTGCGCGTAGCATTCTCCAGAAGGCCGTGTCCAACGCCAGGGGCGCCCATCATCCTCCAATGGTGCTCGGGCTCACTGAGGTCCAGGGACGTACGACAGTCTCAGCTATCGGACTTTCTAATGGCGCAGAGGATGCAATTGGGATGCTCTTTAGCTCTTCGAGTTCCATCCCATGCCCTGGCCTACCTGAAGGCTGCAGCTCTACCAACGGCGTGTGACCAGGACACGGGAATTCCTGCTCCAGCTACGACCCCATGAGCCGAGGGACCTGTTCTGAGCTGCAGGATTAGACCCACATCCTTGCTGACAACTTTCTTGATGAAGATCAAAAGAAGACTCTCGCCACACGAGAAAGAAACACAAGGGGCCAGGACACGAGGAATGCATGTGTGTATGGGCGTTCTCCTCCCCTCTGTGCACGCACGGGCACACCCCGCTGAGTCAGCGGGCACGCCATGCCTAGGAACATGGCTCCAAGAGTCCTTTTCTGAAAAGCACCCAGACAGTGGACTCCTCAAGGCAGGGGCTGCCCCACTCACCTCTGAATCCCTGAGCCTGGGACCTCTAGGTGCCTTGTGTGCTCAATCAGCCTGTATTGGACACACTCGGCCGCCTCATGTTAATAAAGGAAACAGTGGCCAAGGAAAGTGCTCCCAGAACCTGAAGTATGGCCTGCCCTCGCTGGGGGAGGTCTATCCATAATCCTAGGGGCTAAGAAGCCCGAATCTATGAACTTCACAGGATCAATAACGTGGTTCGGTGGCATCTATAGCCCCAGGTCCCTTGTGGCCACCCCCATGCTTAAGGGGTAGGGTCTAGGTCAGTGATGGCGAGCCTTTTGAGCTCGGCGTGTCAGCATTTTGAAAAACCCTGAAAAACCCTAACTTAACTCTGGTGCCGTGTCACATACGGAAATTTTTTCATATTTGCAACCATAGTAAAACAAAGACATATTTTTGATATTTATTTTATATATTTAAATGCCATTTAATAAAGAAAAATCAACCAAAAAAATGAGTGTCATAGGTTCGCCATCACTGGTCTAGGTGATACTCTTGTCTACCAACCACACTGGGTCTGTGGGAAGCACAGCAAGGGTGTAGTCATACCTACAATGTCAGACTCTCCAGGACTCTGGACCCCCCAGACACCTCCCCTGAGCTCTACTGTACTTATTACCAACACGGCGAATGGCAGCTCTGCTTAGCTAATATGGACTAAGCACCTACTGTGCGCCAGGTGCAGTGCCAAGTGTTTCCAGGTGCCTGGCTTTATTAATGGGCCCCGTCAGCACACGTCTCTGTGTTACAGCAGGAGCAATCGGGCTCAGAAGGTTTCGGTCATCGGCCAGTGACACAGCTAGAGAGAGGCCGTCTGGCTCCAGAATCCGGTCTTCGAAAACTGTGGGCCTTTTCACAACATGATGACTTAGCTCTGGGGGATGGACACGAGGGCCAAATGAGCTGGTGGAAGATTCAGTGCTCGGGGAACAAAGCAGGTCATAGCAATGCACACTCGGGATGTCCCCATACAGCAAAGAGACAAACAACCGCCATACACACACACAGAAAACAGACCAAAGGGAATGGAAATCCGTCACCGTGTTAACAAAGCTTTCCTCTGAGGGGTGGATTCGCAGGTGAACTTTATTGGCCTCTTTCTACTTTTCAGGATTTAACTAATTCCCTGCAATTTTCTCAAATGAGCAAACGCATGTAGAAGTGCTTTGCAAACTGTAGAGTGCTGCACAGACCTGAGCAACGTTATCGTGATTCCATTATGTACCTTTTCAAATTCTAATCTAGGGCTGCTTATTGCCGACTGCATGGCTGATGTTATCCAAGGGGAAGACGAAGACGCTTAAAAACGGGCTTCTTTTCAGCCAGGGTTCGTCTAGTCATTTCTCCAGGGAGATGCTGAGCCGGGGGGCGGGCTTTCATTAGCAGGACCTGAATGCTTCCACACTCCACACTCCACTCAGCCGCTCCACGGAGGGAACGGGAGGCCGGGGCTCCTGACAAGCCAGTCACAGAAACAAAAGACAGATTCTCCTGAGATAAAATGCATTTGCTAAATTGCTTCTTTGAGCAGCCAGCTGAGGCAAAAAGGAGATTTGGGCTCCAGGGAAAATGCCCTTTAAGCAGTTTGCCTTTATTCCTTCCCATCCTGAAGGACGGTGGCCTAGACTGACCTCTGAGCTGCCAGGGCTCACAGCTGAGGGTTCAGAGGAGTTGGAAGTGTGTCCTGGGCTCTGGCCAAAAGGACTTTTGTTCCAAGTCGGAAAAACCACAGAGAGAGATTATGGGGATAACTGGGAACTGAGACCCATCCCTCTGACACTCATTGGCTATGTACCTTGAGCGAGTCGTTTTCCCACTTCCTAACGAGACGAGGAGTTTGGGCTTCATGAAAGAACTCTCAGAGGTCATGTGCTCACTAGGTCAGGTACGGTGCTGACAACTTTGCAGGCACGTTCTCATTTAATACTCACACAGCCTCTATGCATGAGGGACACGGTCAGTCCTGCCTTATATATGAAGACATTCATCACCTGAAAGGTTTAGCCACTTGTTCAAGGTCAAATGATGGGTGAACGGAGTGGCTGAGATATTTCCTCCAGGTGTATGTCCTCCGAGTTCTTGAACGTAATCAATTCACTACAGCGCCTTCAAAATCTCTAGGGCTTTTCTAGTTTTAACGCTAGCTAGATGGTTCTATGACTGGAGAGGAATGAATGCATGTATTCCCTGCAGAGGTAGGGACCTGCCATGCTCACCAATATTCACATTCTCTTCTCTTCCTGGGGCCACAGCCAGGCTGTGTTTCTGACTTTCCTGCAGTTTTGGGCCAAGCTCTGGTCTGTAGTATGTGGGCAGGTTCTGGTTGCCACAGGCACCACATTCAGGGCTGTCTCATGCACAGTCCTCCCTGTCAGCCAGAGCAAGAACGTCCAAGGCTCCATGGAAGTCAGAGCCACAAGATGGAAGGAGTCTGGGATCCTGGAGAAAAACCACCTGCCAATCAGGAACATCCATGCGGACTTTCTGTGAGTCAAAGATCTCTCGCATGCGGAGCCCATTTTAGAATTGTTCATGTTACCTTAACTAACACTCCCAGCTGAACTCTTGTAGACAGTAAGCGATGGGGGCAGAACACAACGGACCAAGTAAGGAGTCTCCCTGAAGCCACCCATATCTTGTTGACGCCTCTCCTTCTGATGCCTGAGAACAATGGCTGGAAACATCTGGTGGGCAAAACAACCCTCAATAA